GGACAGATGGACGAATGGACGGGAAGGATGAACAGACAGACGGACGGAATGGACGGACAACAAGAATGGGAGGACCGGACACGAAAAATGGCACAGAAGGATGGACTGGAAGGACAGGATGCACACCGACAGGAAGGGACAAGATGATGAGAGAGACGGATGTACAGGACGGACAGATGGGCGAGATGGGCGGATGGACAGGACGGACAGATGGGCGCGATGGACGGATGGGCACGATCGGGGATGGACAGGACAGAGAGAGGGAGAGAGAGGGAGAGAAGGACAGGATGCACACCGACAGGAAGGGACAAGATGAGCGAGATGGACGGATGGGCAGGACGGACAGATGGGCGAGATGGACGGATGGGCACGATGAGCCGATGGACAGGACGGAGAGAGGGAGAGAAGGACAGGATGCACACCGACAGGAAGGGACAAGATGGAGAGAAAGAGACGGATGTACAGGACGGACATATGGGCGAGATGGACGGATGGACAGGACGAACAGATGGGCGCGATGGACGGATGGGCACGATGGGGGATGGACAGGACGGAGAGAGGGAGAGAGAGGGAGAGAGAGCGAGAGAGAGGGAGAGAGAGGGAGAGAGGAAGAGAAAGAAGAGAGAGAAGAGAGAGAGAGAGAGAGAGAAACAGAGAGAGACAGAGAGAGAGGATAGGGAGTAAGAGGCAGAGAAGGAGAGAGAAGAAGAGAGAGAGAGAGGATAGGGGGAGAAAGAGGCAGAGAAGGAGAGAGGAGAGGAGAGGGAGGGAGAGTAGCAACAAACAGCACATGGATGTTAGATCCAGGAATGTAAAGATGGTGGGAACAAAATTCACTGTCCTCTTCAAACACCCAAGCGAATGACAAGCGGACATATAACGAAAGCGAATGAGGGGGCGACTTGTACCTTCAGTAACCGATGAGCAAATATTTGATGACGTGGCCATTTGGAGACATAAGTCTCATTTCAAACCTATCTCGACGGCAGTTCATCACTTCCTTCCTTCAGCATGAGGCTGGAAGCAAATACCTATCAATACCCCACATCATCACACACACACACACACACGCGCACATACATTTTGACAAATCGCTGCCTTCCTGATGATCACCATATCAAATCACACCTTTACCCTACCGTCTTCACCCGAATAGAACGCCCCGGCATTATCGCTGTATGTAGACTGAAAGTTGCACCAAATACAGCTATTATAATGACCGGGCGTTCTATTCGGGTGAAGACGGTAGCCAAATTCTTTCATCCAAGACGCTGTCCTGTGTCTCCATTTGTCTTTTCTCTCCTCGTCTCATTTCTATCTCAGCCTATTTGTCAGATCTTTCCTCTTTTTTCTAACATAATAACAAGATCTAAAAAAAAATCAGAACTCAACGAACACGAAATGAGAAAAAGATGATAAAAAAAAAAAAAAAAAAAAAAAAAAAAAAAAAATCGCTCTCTCTCTCTCTCTCTCTCTCTCAAACTCTCTCTCTCTCTCTCTCTCTCAGAAGAAGAAGAAGAAGAAGAACGAGGGGTTGTGACAAACTGTTTCATCGGAGTTTCACCGACTCGTCAGGAGGCTGAAATATATATATATATATTGTCACATGACTATGTACTA